AGTCCTGAATATTAAATTTAGTATTTCAACAAATTTATTTAAATTTAGGATGAAGATCAATACTAACTTTAAATCTAGTTAAATATTTAGTATCTAACTAAGACAATTTTCTTTCCTTAATATGATTAACAGACAAAAATCACGTCAATGCACACTATCATCTGAAAGCTTAAAACAAATCCTGGGGGCCAGGCTGACTAATATGAAGCCCTGAAAACACACGAGGACTCCAGACAGGAGCTGCAGTCTTAGCTCACCCTTAGGCTTCTGGGGCTTTGCTCCCTCTGCCACCAAGCAAGAGCCTACAAGGTCACCTGAAGAGCTCAGAGAGGCTTGGAGAACAACAAAGTTCCCTCGATTGCCAGGGTGGCCCCCACCAGATTTCTGAAGGGCGTGAAGCCCCTGAAACAGAAGGTGAAGGGAATGGCTCTGGAGGCTTTCTCCCCGACATGGGAACAGAATCAAACTGAAATTAACTTCGTTATGGCTAGAGGCTAAGTTCAATGTACTGGATTTCGCTGCTCCAGGCTGAAAAGCTAATGGTAAAGAGCACTTGCACTCAAATTCTCTGGGGGTAAGCCTCTCAGCCCCCTCCTGTGGGGAGACGGGTGGCCTCACAAATCCCCACCAGCAGCCCTGAGACCCATGTGGCCCAGGGAGGAACATACATCAAAGAGGAGAGGGTTGTACACTGTGAGCGGGAGCTCAATGTGGCCCAGGTGGCCGGAGCAGTTGTTGAAGTCTTGCACGCAGGTGGAGCACACTTCCCTGGAATCCGCAGGGCCCAGAGCTAAATCGTACAGGCCGTTAGCTGACGGGTTCCCCAGGCTGTCCAGGTACCTCGGGTTCGTAATGGACTTAACACTTAACTTCCTAAGGAGAAAAAGACCAAGGGAAAACTAAGGTTACTCGACTTCTTAGATGTTTCCTCTTCGGCACTCACAAAACCGCAGTCAAGTGATGATGTAATGAATGTGTTTCCTCAGACCCACCGACAGGTCTGGGGGGGGCAGAATCTGTGTCTGCCTTGCTTAGGACTGCTCAGCACTTAGCAAGGAGCCTGCACACAATAGTTGCTCAATAAATATGTGCTGAATGAGAGTGGTAAAATCTTTAAAAAACAGAT